AGGAGAAGTGAAGAGGGCCCTCACCAAGATGGACTGAGACACTGATTGTAAATGGGTTAGAGTTATGTCAGAGCTGGTGACTGTGGTGCCGCATAGGGCAGGGCTCAGATAGAATGTTCACAGAGTTGCTATGAGTTGTGGTTGAGTCAATGGCCCCTAAAAACAATGTCCTATAGCAAGGACGTGATGTCAGTACTGTGCAACCTAAATCTATACATTTATTGAGTGCTTATTGTATGTCAAACACTGTGTTATTCTCTTTTTATGAATAATCATATATTTATTAAGTAGCTCTAGTGATGTCATTCATAGGTGGTTGTGCTGCTAACCAAAATGTTATTTGTTTAAATCGACCTCTGGTTGGAATTTATGGAAATTATGACCCAAAGGAGGGTCACTCACTACCAATCAGAACTGACTACAGCAGTGAGATTGAGTTTTAATGTTTTTATTGCACTGCCTTTGTAGAACACTGCATTTTATTAGAAGTAGGTATAAACTCACATACTTTGAGCAGGTTATCAAGAGGGCCAAGTTCATGGAGAAGGACATTATACATGAAAAGTAGTTGTCAAATACTCTTAAGTCAACTATGACTCATAGATCTGACTCCTGTCCTATGCCATCCTCATCATCTCTGACACACTTGAGCCCATTGCTACAGTCACTGTGTCAGTCCATCGCATTGAAGTCTTCTTTTTTACAACCCTCTCCATTTACAAGCATGATGTCCCTTTCCAAGGAATAGCCGCTCCTAACAACATGCCCAAATATGTGAAATGAAGCTTTGCCATCTTTGCTTGTAAGGAGTGCTCTGGTTGAACTTTCCCCAAGATATATCAGTTCATTCTTTTGGAGTCCATGGAATATTCAGTATTCTTCTCCAACACTACAACTCAAAGCATAAATTCTTCTGTCATCCATATTCATTGTCCAGCTCTCAGATGCATAACAGGTGATTGGAAAAACAAAATACAATCACTGGATCTTCAGCCTCATTTCTATCACCAAGTCTGTACTTTCTGACTACAATTCCTTCTTTTCCCCCCAATTTTCCATTCTGGTTACCAATTATTATTATTAGTAGTAGTAATAATAATAATAGCAATAATAATAATAACTTCAATACATGTTTGGTCCATTTTAAATAGCAAAAGTTGGTAGAAGTTTCAAATTTCTCCTCTTTGGGTTTAGGTGTTGATGTGTATATTTACATAATAGTTATATTAACAAGTCTTCCCTGTACACATAAGGATAGTATCCTACCACTCACAACATTGTATTTCTGGAAACATCTTGAAATAGCCTCTTAAACTATGAAAGCAACACCTTTTTCCTCAATTTTTTTCTACTGATTTTTTTTCCATATGATTGCCTGACTCGAAGTGACCAGTGCTAGTCCATCTCAGCTCACTTGTTGTGGCTGTTGTTAGGTGCCATCAAGTCAAGTATGACTCATAGTGACCTTAGGAACAAAAGATCTGAACCTAGTCCTGTCCTGCACCATCCTCACACTTCCTGACATACAGGAGCCCATTGCAGCAGTTACTATGTCAATTAACCTGCTTGAGGATCTTCCTTTCCCTCGCCAACACTCCACCTTTCTCAATATCATGTCCCTCTCCAAGGAATAGCACCTCCTAGAAATACATCCAAAGTATGTAAGGCGAAGCCTCATCATTCTTGCCTCTAAAGAGCACTCCGGCTGCACCCTGTCCAAGACATATCTATTAAGCCATCCATGGGATTTTCTCTCTCCAACACTACAGTGCAAAGGCATCAATTCTTTTTCTGTCATCCTTATCCATTTTCCAGGTGTCAGATGCATAGCAAATAATTGGAAAGACTATGGCCTGAATCAAATGCACCTTAGTCCTCAAACTGACATCACTACTCCTCAATAATTTGGACAGGTCCCTAACTTCAGATCTTCCCATTGCAATGTGTCTTCTTATTTCCTGACTGCTTGTACCAACTGTGTTAATTGTGAGTCCAAGCAAGATGAAGCTGTGGACGGTTTCATTCTCCTCTCCATCCATCATGACATACTGCCTATTGTCTCAGCTCACTACTGCCTACAATATTTATCATTTATGCCTTCCATTTTGGTTTTGACAACTTTGGATTCTCCTAGATTTATTCATACTTCATGTATTCCACATACCAATGGTTAATGGATGTTTGCAGCTCTATTTCCTCCCTTTTTTAGTGACTCACTATCTGGGCTTTACCTCTAATACTCTAGCTGCCCATGTTCCTCTGTCATTCATAGGGTTTTCAAAGGCCTGTTATTTCAGAAGTGGATGACCAATCCTGCTTCCTCGTCTGTCTTAATTTAGGGACTCTGCTGGAAGCTATTCACCATGGGTGACTCTGTTAGCATTTGAAACACCAGCAAAAAAGAGGAAAACCCTCAGTGAGACAGTCTGGCACAGTGACGGCAGCATGAGCTTGAGCACAGCAGAGATTGTGAGGGTGGCTCAGGATCCAGCAGAGTCCTGTTCTGCTGTACTTTGGGTTGCTCTGAGTCAGCACAGCCTCACAAGAACTAGAAACTTGTTCTTTTCCCCAACCAGGAAAGAAGTGGAATAGAACACAGTGGTTACAAGATGTGGCTCTGGTGCTGAGCCGGCTGGGTTCAGATTCCAGCTCTGCTACTTTCTGGATATATGAACTTGGGCAAGATACTTGATTTCTCTCTGCCTCAGACATCCAATCTGTAAAATGGGGTCGTAATAACAGTTTCTATCCACAAGGTTGGTGTTGATTGCCATTGAGTTAATTATGACTCAAAGTGATCATATAGACACACATTTGCCCCATAAAGTCTTTTCCCTTAGGAAACTGCTGGACAGGGTTGAACTGCTGAGTGCTTAACCATTGTACCACCAGGAATCCTTAGAGAGTTATGGGAGGGTTAAATAATACAACTCAAGTACTTAGAATAGCATCTGGCACATAGTAAGTTATTATTAGAAAGCATTAGGCTATGAATTTTTTGAGGAGTGATCTAAATCTTATTCATCTTTCTAACACAAATTAGCAATCAAGGATCTTCATTGAAAAGACTATAGGGAAAAACCAAGGTCTTAAAACCCATTAACCCTTAGTCCTTTTATTTACTTATTTTTAAGATGGAAAAATCTCCCATCTCTTCCCTTACCACTGTCAGTATTTCTGTTAACACCCTTGGGATAAGAATTTTGAGTCATTCTAGAGTTAGTCTCCTCCCTCTTTACTGACACTCTTGCTTATTGCCAAGACAGGACATAGAACAGAAATGGCAACGAGTTCCCATGATGGGCAAGGAGGGAGGGGCACTGAATGAGGTTCTCAAGTCTTTCACATGCTGCCTCTGCTCCCACCAATCAGTCTTGCCCGGACAGCTCCTGTCTCTCCTTTCCACCTTTCTGAAGACCATATCCCCTTCTAGGCTTAATATCTCAGTTTCTATAAATCCTTCCCTAGGGAAACACTCCATTGCACAGAAATCTCCTCTCTTCCTGAATTTCTAGGAAAGCATCTCATTTTTAGTTCAGTGCTTTTACATTTTCAGGGACCCTTGGTGGCACTGTGTGTTTCATGTTGGGCTCCTGACCAACAGGTCAGAGTTTGAATCCAGCGGTGTCTCTGAGGAAGAAAGATGCGTGTTTTCTTCCCGTTAAGACTGACCACCTCAGAAACCTGACGGAGGGTCATCATGAGTGAGAATCAACCACACAGCAGCAGATTTTGTTTTGGTTTTACACAGTCATCAAGAAATTGTATCCTTACCTGGAGAGGGAGGTATTTATCAGCTCCATTTTATCAGTGATGGAACTGAGGCTGGGAAGAGGAGACAAGTGCCAACAATGACACAGCCTGGGCTTGGCTCCATGCCTTCTGTATCCAGCCCCAGCTCTTCTCATCATTAATCTACTTCCTAGATCCTAGATACAGTGGGAGAAAACTGTGGAGCAGAACTCAAAATCATAGAACAGACCAGGCTTACTGTCCTGTTCTGGTAGAACTCCCGAGATAGGGCCCTATTCACCTTTCAGGACTGGACCTCACTCCAGTGAAGGCTCAACTTTCAGTCAAACAATGGATGTGTTTACAAGGTCAACAATGAATCAGCATTGACTTAAAGGCAGTGAGTTTCTTATGGTGAACATTAACACCAGAGAGCTGTGCATTCTTTAGAATAGTCAGCCATCAGTGATCAAAAGGGTAGCATAAGGCCGGATATAAAGCTCAGAAGGTAAGAAAAGACAGGGAGGAAGGACAAACAGAAAAAAAAGGAAATACAGGAAAGAAGTGGGAAGAGTTCTGCCAGAATGTGAAGATGGCACCCAATCACACACACACACACACCCCCAAGATGGAATGGAAAAACCAGCTTGCTCTGTAAACTTTCATCTGAATAATAATGAAAAGTTATAAAAATTTTGTTCCTTTATGGCTCCAACCATCTGTCCCATGCTTTGGGCACTCACTCAGCTTTGTATGTGGCCTTGTGTTAATAGTTGTCTTTTCACAGAGGTCAGTTTCTGTCTTTTGTAAATTCTGGAGGTCAGAGACTGAATCATATTTCCTAACGTCAAGCGAGGACAAGTTGTTGGAGAAGGATGTCATGCCTAGGAAAAAGAGAGGGTCAGAGAAAAAGCAGACGCTTTGTGTGGCTTGACAGAGTGTCTGCACAGGGACATAATCCCAGCAGAGAGTGTGAGGAGGTCCAGAGTGGGTTAGGGGTTCCCTCTGTTGTACCTGTGTTGCTGTGAGTAGAGCCAACTGCATGACACCTAATAATTAACAAGCCAACGTAACCCCTGAACTTTTGCTTAATTAATCAAGCTTCTCACATGTCTTCCCTCTACTGTTTCTTCAGAGAGTCAGTTTTTAGATATCCAGAGGGGAGAAAGTTAGAGCATCAAGTTAGACAGACATGAGGAGAGAGGTAGAGAAGAAATCACCTGTGCACTGGGTTGTTTTGGGTGAGGTTCTCAAGAAAGGAGTTTGCCTTACTTCTTGAATTTCTCGGAGGGCAAGATTTTGCCATCGGCATCCAGTGGAGGTGCCCTTACTTCACTCCTCAGTTTGAGTTTCTCCACCTCCTTCAGCTCCTTCACCGCCCTGCGCATCACCTGGTTCTTCCTGCTCTTGTCCACGAACATGGGAGTGCAGCATATGAAGGTCAGGAAGCTGTTTTTGCCCATCCAGGAAGGAGGCGGGATGGGAGGCTTGGCTGGGGGCTGCTGGTGGGCTCTGCAGTTTGTCACCCAGCGCCAGATGTTGCTGTCATAGGGCATGTCAGGCCGAGTGGGGAAGGTGGCCGGCAGGCGGCCCACGTCAAGCCACGTGTGGAAGCCCCAGGTGTGCTGGGTCGCGTTCTCCGCAGGGTAGATTAGGCAGTGACGCACTTTGGACTTAAGCTCAGTGCTGGGTGGCAGCTTCAGGGCCAGCCTGTGGTAGACTTGCTGAGTGAAACCAGGCAACTCCCAGGGCTCACTGGGGAGGAGGAAGTCATGCTGAGCACAGGTTTGGGAGCTTGGGAATGACTCATTGGCGTGGATTATCTGGGGATAGAAAAGAGGAGCTGGGTATGGTTGTGTGTGCAAAAGCGAACTGAAGTAAGAGTACTCAATCTCACTTTCCTAAGCACAGCCAGAGAGAGAACACCAGACTCTGATGGCTTTACGAGGAACCATTTTTCTTACCTGGCCTGCGTTGTGGGAGAAGGATGGGCAATCTCCTTCCCTGTGATTTACTGTCTCTGAAAACCCACTGGAAGGTCAACTGTTGGTCGGTTCTGACTCAACAACACTCACTGACAGCAGCACCTGCTTGTCAGACGTTATGACCACTACTAAGTGAAGGCTCAAACACACCCAGAGGTGCAGTGGAGAGAAAGGCCTGGCAATCTACTTCTGAAACAGGTCACAGCTTTGAATATATTATGGAGTACAGTTCTCCACACACAGCGGGTTGCTATGAATTGGAATTGACTTCAAGTGGTAATGGGTTTTGTTTTCCTCCACTTAGATTTTCCAATTCTTCACCTTCAGCCTGTTCTGTGCCGTGCTACCTTTCTAAGGAACTGATGCTCTTAATAGGGCCCATCAAGCTCTGAGAGATTGAGGGGGATAGTACCCCAAATGAAACTAAGCGAAGAGAGTGAACGTGCTCTCTGTCAAACTAACTTGCTCCTGGTCTTGGTAACATTCCAGGAAAGTCTCTATAGAACACAGCTCAGATGCTTTTTTGTCCCAGACTCTCTTGCTCCTTGTTTCCTGTTGTTGGTGCTTTTCCTTGTCTCATTAAAATGCAACCAAGCTTTTAAAACACCTACAATACCTTTCCTGCAACTTCTCCTCGCTCTGTGACATAAAGTGTTGCAATACATATTATCTTTGCCACCCTACAAACCCTGGATGAGATGGAGTAACAGAGTGACTGTAGGGTCACTATGAGTCATAGTCAACTCAATAGCACATCACAACTACTCTACTAACAGGTATTGTTATTGTCCCCACTTTAAAGCTATAAAAAAGCAAGACACAATGAGAATAACTCACCCAATGTGCCAAATAAGTGGGTGGTGGGGCTAGGACTTGAGGCTGTGCAATGACAGTGCCTACTCAAGGACTAAGAATGTGCCTCTTTAGAAATGCCTCTCCTTCCATGCACTGCTAAGGCTTTGCTGATTTTAAAAAAAAAGTCACATGGCTCTTGGTCCCATTCCCCTAAATTCTTTTTACAGGACCACCCCACAAGGGTTTGGAAGTTGTGGTAGGAACCAGGAACCTCTTATCCTCTTTCGAGCATCCTGTTGCCAAGGCTTAGGACCATGAGGGTAAGATTGCTTTATAGATTAGTTCTGCTTTCCAGGTCCACCATATCAGGGCAACTCCAAGCCCATTAGGGCAAAAAGGGGTTGGCTGCTGACATAGTCCCGCCTCCTACCTGCAGGAAAGGTTCTCTGGCTCGAGATGGACAGTTCCACCCTCTAGGAGGTCTTTGTGAATCACTGGCCATTCTTCTACACTCCAGGAGCCAGGAGGGAAGGTTTTGTGGGGAAGCCCTCTCAGACTCCTTTGTTTGCTGTTAAAGTTGCTATGGTGATGCCTCACAGGAGAGGTGAGGCAGGGAGGAGGCCCTTACCTCTCCTGAGAGGGCTCTCCAGTCCCCAAGCCCCATGCCTTTCAGGTGAGATAATCAGGACTCATGAGTTCAGACTGCCTAGCAGGAAAGGAAAAAGGAGGGGAGGAAAGCAGGACAGGCTGGTTGTGGAAGGAACAGGGAAGAGGCACCTATAAGTGGACTCCTCATTCCCCAATGTCGCCAGGGCCTCCTTTCCCCCATTTTCATGTGCTTCATATGCATGTGAAAGCTGGGCGGTGAAAAGAATCATACCTTTAAATTGTGTTGGGGAAAGGTATGGAGTATACCACTGCTGCCAAAAGAACAAATGTGCCTGCCTTGGAGGAAGTTCAGCCAGGGTACTCCTTAGAAGCAAGGATAGTGAAACTTTGTCTCACATACTTCAGGTATATTGTTGTTAGGAGGCACCAGTCATTGGAAAGCAGACGTCATGCCTGGAAACTAGAGCGTCAGTCAGAGAAAGACCAACAGGAAGGATGACAGTGATTACAAGAATGGACTTGAGCATGGAGATTGTGAGGATGGTGCAGGATAGAGCAAGATTTTGATCTGTTATTCACAGAACTGCCAGATGTGCAGGCCGGATTTAGAAGAGGTTGTGGTACTAGGGATATTATAGCTAGTGTTAGATGGATCTTAGCTGAAAGAACAGAGTACCAGAGGAATGTCTATCTGTGCTTCATTGACTATGAAAGACTTTTGACTGTGTGGATCACAACAAGCTATGGCTGACTCTGAGAAGAAGAATTCCAGAACATTTCATTGTGTTAATGTGAAACCTATATTTGGACCAAGAGGCAGTCATCAGAACAGAGCCAAGGAGACACTACAGGTTCAAAACCAAGAAGGGGGTCCGTCAGGGATGTATTCTGTCTCCATACCTTTTCAATCTGTATGCAGAACAGATCATCTGAGATGCTAGGCTGTGCAAGGAGGAATGTGGCATCAGGATTGGTGGAAGAGTCATCAACAACCTGTGTTATGCAGATGACCCAACCCTGCTTGCTGAAACTGAGGAGACCTGAAGCACTTGCTGCAGAAGGTCAAGGACTGCAGCCTCCTGTATGGATTAAAGCTCAACATCAAGAAAACAAAGATTCTCACCACTGGGCCAATTGGCAGCATCAGTATGGATGGTGAAGAAATTGAGATAGTTAACAGTTTTAGTTTACTTGGCTTCACAGTCAACACTCTTGGTACCGGCAGCCAAGAAATCAAGAGACGAATTGCATTGGGAAAGTCAGCTGTGAGGGACCTCTCAAGAGTACTGAGGAGCAATGACGTCAGGCTGGAGATTAAGGTGCGCCTGATCTGGGCTAGTCTTCGCAATTACATGCTATGCATCAGAGAGTTGGACAGTGACTAGGTATTCCTTGGAGTCAAGGATTCTGAAGCTTTGTCTGACATACTTTGGGCATGTTACAAGGAGGGACTGGTTCTTGGAGAGGGACATCATGTTTGGCAGAGTAGAGGGGTGGTGCAAGAGAGGAAGACCTTCAATGAGATGGATCGATTCTGTGACTGGAGTGTTGGGAATGAGTGCGTTTCAGATGGGTAGGTTGGCACAGGATAGAATGGCATTTAGGGCTCTTGTACATAGGGGTCACTATGAGTCACAGGCGACTTGATGGCACCTAACATTCATAGGGTTCTCAGTCATCTAACAGCCACCCTTGCCTAGGCCTTTCTCTTGAGACTCCCACAGGGCTCTGGTGGCCTAGTAGTAAGTTGTGCTGCCAACCCAAAGATATGCTGTTTGAATCCACCAGCTGCTCCACAGAAGATGGGCAGTTTTTGACCATGTGATTTACTGCTACTGACAATCCATTGGAGGGTCAGCTGAGATAGTTCTGACTTAAATATACAAAAAGAGGCATAAGCTACTCAGCAACTACAGTTCTCTGGGAATAGGAACGGGTAGGAAAAGGGCATGCCTGTGCATGACACGCACCAGAACTTGCAGTATCTGTTTCAAAGAGCAAGTATTTACAGAGGATGCGCCAGGGAGGGTTATCTGTGCTAAAGCCCTTTGCAATCAATCCTTCAGGCACTTCTTCAGCTGAGCTCAGGCCCTGCTTCTTCCCTGTTACCACTGTCTCCACAGTCTTTTCCAACCAAGCAGCACTTATTTTAAGAACCAAGTACCGACACGCTACAGAGAACATTTCCACTGTGGATTTTATTGAGAAGGTAGTTACAGTAGTGTTGACCTGGTTTGCATGCATGCAGTCAGCTGGGGTTGAGGGTGGCTCTCTGCAGAGCTGAGGTGCAAGCTAAGGGAGCCAGGCAGGTCAGAGGCTCTTCCAGCTTTCTCAAGCTTCTGGCCATGTTCTCAACAATGCTAGTCTCTCTGGCATGATTAGGAACACTATCAGAGAAACACCCAGTGGGACTACCCATACATTTTGTCTCAGAAGCATCCATCCCC